AGTCGTTTGCATAATAGCATCGACGAGCTGCTATTTAGGTATATGAGTAAGCATCGGATGATACGTCTCGAACTCGTCGAAATTCTTCGCATCGAAAATATGAATTGAATTATTATCTATGATATTCATTCGGAAGCTGCATATTAAATCTCAATGACAACTACGTCTATCTCGATTAACGCCTTCGCTCGAAGATATTAAAATATCGATTTTATCGATTCTCCCCTGTTTATTTTTTTTTATCTCTCTTTATAACGACTAACTAATTAAGTAGTCAAGTGAAATAATGACGTTGACCAAACGACGTTGGTATGAATTTTTGAATAATATTATAATCCATAGATCGTATTGTTTAAGGCGACGGCGGCGGCAGTGCGTTAGCAAAAAGCTATTCACTTGTTTGTATACGTCAGCAGTTGAACGTGCCGAATGAAAACCTTTGATTACCTTTATCACGTTTGATGCGTCTGCAAATGGCACACATGCGTCGTCCGCAGTGCTGCCTCTCAGGCTTCTGCTCGGTGTCCAGGGTGACCATCTTTTTAATAATTTTAAATCGTTTATCGATAAAAACACGTGGACAAAATAATAAACGATATTGTCAAATTTATTTGATCTCTTGTTTTTTTTTCTTATAGTTTTATATCCGTTCCAATTCTAGGAAGGTGAATATCTCGATCAGGTAACTTTCTGGTTCTCACTAAAGACAAATTCATTCCGATCGAACTTAATGTATCTTCGAACGTTAACACAGATTCGATAGGATAATCCTCTTGTCTCGACGTTCCTGTCGTCGTTATTCTCGTCGAGGAACAAAAATCGATCCTTTCTATCCACCTCTTGGGACGAAGAAGATCGACGACGCTCCTGCGATTAGCGGGTCCTGTAAGTCGACGATTTGTCAGATCGATCTTATCGATCTCTCGAATAAACGATATCGTTCTCACAATATGCTCGAAATAATCTCAAATAAATCACGAATTTGATAAATCAAGAAAGATATTCCTTAGCTCGGTTGCTTTCATCAAAGACGATTTCACATTGTTGAATTTATACAATTTTGTATAAATTTTCTAAACAAAATTCTATCATGAATGATCGATCGTGTCTGTCATTACAGAATCGATTGTTAAAAACTTTTTTAAACAATCGTTTCTCGCGTGACGTAACGCTTTCACTTGGTTTCTTGGGCCTTAGCCGCGTGCGAGCGCGCGCAGACTCCGTTTGGAATTTCACACGGGTTTTCTCTCTCCTACAGTTGAATTTAAAAAACTTTGTATGCTACGAGAATTGATTTCACCTTTACTTCGTTAATTGCAACGGGACGCGTCATAAATCACCTTTACGTTTATTCGATTTTGTACGTTTTTGAGACTTCGGCACGAAATGAACGACACGACACGACACGACACGACACGATACGGCACACAACACACAACATTCGTAGGCGCGCGCATTCACTTGCAACACGAACGATTTCGAAGCAATGGAAATTTTAACGGGTCCTTTTACTCCTCCCTCCTCTTCTTCCTTTTCTCCTCAATCGAGCATAAATTTTGATTTTTATTTCGCGAGATTTTATCGAATTTCAATCACGTATCACAAAACAACTCACGTTGTTACGAAGAAGACGAACAAAACTGATTTTACTACAATTTTAAATTGTCCCCTGTTTCTTCCCCATCTCTTTTTCTATTTTTACTCTTAACTTTTTTTTTTCTTGGTGCATCTCAAGCACCGAATCAAGCTAATTAAGCTTAATTCGATTTAATTAATCCTCGATACTTTGACCACTTCTCCACCTCTTCCTATCCTCCTAACACTACGAAGCTGATCTTGCTTCACCCTAAGGGCAATTAGCGAAGAAGACAAGACGTGGGTTGAGTCGATGTTGATAATTCGTCCAAAATGAGACCAAAGACTCGATCTTTCTTCTCTTCTTGTTCGTTTGTCTAACACCGACAGACAGTCAGACAGACAGACAGACAATTCGATCGCTTTCGTTCGCGTGGGCGATGTTTCTTCTCTTTCCTCGGGCATAAATTATTTCGAATTACTTGCCAAGAGCTTGGAAAGAACCAATCACGACCAAGAGTAACTTTCGAAAATTGTATGAGACGAAAGGATATGAAATAGACACGCAACAACTACGTAGAAGAATTGAAGACAAGATTTAAGTAATTCGATTCAGACAGAACATTTCTTTTTTTACTATTTCTCAAGTTTCTTCTTCTTCTTTTTCTTTTTTATTATCGAGAGTGCATTATTTTGTTCTCGCTTGAACGAAACGAATTGAATTTACGATTACAAGTGTACAACGAAGATGTGTATGTGTGAGCGCGTGCGCACGCGAGTTTACAGAAAGGACAAAGTAACTTGAGTCCGACTGTAAAACCGGTACACAACAAAGTTGCGAAGCTTATTTTGGGTATTCGTGCCGGAGTTGTTCCTGCAGAAAGGATTAAATCATTGGGGGGTGGGGGGTGGGGGGAGGAAGGGTACCTCGTTTAAAAGCGATACGAATCCGTAAAGTTTATTTTAATACACTTTGCTCTTATTGTTGATGCAAATTAATGGGTACTATGTTAAAAACATTGTGAGATACCGGTTCATGGTGTATACGTGCGTGAGTGAGTACTTGCATGCGTGCATGAGTGTGTGAGTGCGCATGAATGTGTACGTGTTTGAAAAGATAGAACGGTTAAGAAGAGACTGAGAAAGATTAAAGAGTCGGAGTAGTCAGAATGAAGGAGTCAGAGTGAAAGTTGACAAAACGTATTCTCGAGGGATCCGGTAAACGCCCACGCACGGCCATTTAATTAACACCGAAATTGTCGTACGCAATCCGAAACGTCGGTGATCGTACGTAACGTCTTGCATATAAACCGAATGGATCGCGTACGTCCAATTCTCCGTTAAATTATCATTTACTATTTAATTACACGCTGTGATCTTAATTGCAAGAATATACGCGGTGATCTCAAGCGTCGAAAATATTATCTTTACTTCCCCGTGAGAGGATATATATATATATATATTCAATGATTTCCACCGTATGTTCTATTCGATTCAACTATACGTTCCGTCCTTTGTCGGCTAATCTTKTCGATCTATTTTCTCAACAACAACAAAAATCCATAATAAAAATTGTAATATAATTAATACTAAAGAAATGGAAGCACAAGGGGAGTAGTATTTCTCAATGAGAAAAAACAAGCCATGTTTATTACGAATATCAAGTTACGATATATCTTTCTCTCCTTCGTTGACTATAATATTCTTCTTCGGTGTATTCATTTATCGAGATTTTCCCTTCCCTTTCTACCTTGTTCCTCTCGTACACTTTCCTCAACCATTCCTCCCGCCACTATCCATCCTAACTCTCAAACGATTACGGTGTAGAGACATTAAGCCGCTCTTTATCACGGTCAACGTTGTTATAATTAAACTTTTTGGTAAAACGTCTTTCGCTTTTAATCGAGCACGTACCGTCTAATTATTTTAATTACCGTTATCATCCTTATTACGCGCGGTCGTTCGTTAATGCCACGCTTGTACAAAACGGTTAACCGGATTGTTTCGTCCCCGTCGTTTAATTTACTTATCGCGTTTATCGCAACCAACGAGCGATCGTTTCTTCAGAAGAAGAAGAAGAGGAACTGAGGGGAAACAGGAGGTGGTGGTGGTGGTGGTGGTTGAAGAGGAAGCCGAGAAGAAGAAGAAAAAGAAGAAGAAGAAGAAGAAGAAGGTGAGATAGAAGAGTGCAACACACGAAAGGGAAGCGACCGGAACCCGATCGAGAGAACCGATCGAGCATTGATTAATTCGCGGCGCTTTTCTGCCATTTATAACGCCGCGGCTAATTAAGCGTGCCCGGGTTAATCGCGCAATTTGTTACCTTAATGACGTATCAAGTTACGAAATTAACGTCGCAGAGGCTTCTCTCGATCGCGCATACCCGGTATATATCGAAGTGAGTGAGAGAGTGAGAGAGTGAGAGAGAGAGAGGGGATCTCCTCATTTACCCTACCTCGGCCTATTATTTCTCAGCTTTATGTCCTTCCCCGACTTTGCGAAGAAAACGATGAAACTTCTTTCGCAAGTCTTTCCTTTTTTTTTTTTTTTATATTAATAACTTTTTTTTTTCTCTTTTCGCAATCTTGTTATTCCTTGTTCATGGTTGACAGAGAGAAAAGAGGCACGACTCGTGGCGACTCGGATTTCTTGATATCTCTTTTTTCGGTTTATATTTACGGTTTATATTCTCGTGGAATTTTTTTTCGATATGAGAGAGAGAGAGAGAGAGAGAGAGAAACGAGAGGTACTCGATAAATGCAAGTTACTCGTTATTTGCCTAAGAAAGCGAAATCAAGTTTTACTTCGAAATAATTAACGAAAAAGAATTAAACAAGAAATTAAAAAAGAATATAAACGACAAATAAAAGCATAGAGGAAGAAAAGTGATTGCGTAAAAAGGGAGGGAGGGAGGGAGGTAGGGAGGGAACGGGGAGGAGTAGGGCAGTTACGTGTCGAGGGCGGCAATAATTAGAGCGGCGAGTTTTGTAACGATTAAGACGTACTATAATTTACAATGTACCGAATCTCGAGAAAAGGGGCACGCCGTAAAAAAGGTCCTTCGATGAGGAGAAAAGGAGAAGAAGCGAGGAATCGTAAAAGCGCGCAGCGCTCGGGGAAAAAACCGAAGGACCGCTTAATTTTCTCGGTCGAGAGAGGTAGCAGCAGCAGCAGCAGCAGCATCAACAACAGCATCAGCAGCAGCAGCAGCAGCAATCAAGCTCGTCCGATCATCCCAATTTCGTTGGCTCGCACGTGTGCACGATAAACGGGAGTGTTGCGCGCGGGCGAACACAACATTCGAAGGAGACGATCGCAAAGTCGGGATCTTTAAATTGCCACAAGAGAGAACGAAAATTCGCGACTTTAACGGGAGAGAAAAAAAAAGGGGGTTGCGGCACGGTAGAGAAAGAAACACTTCTCTCTCTTTCTCTTTTTTTTTTTTTTGCATATATTTTATTTCTTTTTATTTTTCACTCTCAGGTAAAAAACAGCCGCGGCACTTTCGATCGGCCCCACCTACTACTACTACTTCTACTACTACTACTACTACTACTACTAAGGACGACTTCAGGATAACAGAAGTTGCAGTTTAAAGCAGGAAAGTTAAAAGAACAGCACTCGTTGCAACGAGTACCTTCTTTTGGCGTCAGGAGAAGTTTCGGCCTCGACACGCATTTTCAAAGAGTCGTTTCGTCGTCACGGACCCATCAGGTCCTCCCCCTTCTCTCCGGACTAACCGATCCTTATCTGATTGTGCCGATCTTTACGATCTTTCCTCGCGAGAGAGTAGTAAGATCCTGGGCTTTCTTATTCTTATTCTTCTTCTTATTCTTCTCATCTAAGATGACGGATTAATCGCGATCGAGCGTGCTCGATTCCGCCTTATTGTATATATGTATGAGAGTGGAGACTTTTTTGCAAGGAGGACGTGTCCCGAATGGACAAGAAAAAAGGGGAGCATCCTTCTCTATCACGAGAAGAAGAGAAGAAAATTCCTTTGCCGATTCGAATCAAGAGAAAAGAGGATGGAAGATTATCGTCATCGTTTTCGTCTTCGTCGTTCGTCGTTCGTCGTTCGTCGTTCGTTCGTCGGACCGCGGCCAATCGACGACGCCTCGGACGCGCCAATAAATCAGAACGAGTATATATAAACGTGGTCAAGCTTGAGGAAGGGATCCGGTGACTCGGTGCAAAGAAACCTCGAATCATCGAATCCGCATCGATCGGCCACTACGATCTCCCCCACGGCTACGAATTTCACTGGCACATAAATACACACACAGAAACAGACACTAAAGACCACCATGCCCATACACTAAATTATACGCTTGTGTGTTTGTGTGTAACATACGTGTATGAAGTCAAAGTCATAATCGTCGTTACATCGTTCGAACATCGTGTTTGCGAAAGCGAACGGATCGAAGCCGATCGCGATTCAATTAATATCCGCGGGCTGCTCCTCCCACTTCGCTTGATTTAATTATCAGATTTTGCCGGTACCGATAGGAATCGCTTCATTAAGTCGAGACGACGGTTAGGTACCAAGTGAAACCCGCACCGTCAACGTCGTTATCGCTGAACCAACTCTTATTTCCCATTTGGATAATCTTTTTTAATTATATCGGGGGTATAGGGGGTATAGAGGGGGGGGGGGCTAGGGGAGGACGGAACGATCATTTGTTCGTTGTAAAAGACGCTAACTTCTGCGGATGCTTGCTACTACTACAATTCTTGTCTTCTTTCATCATCATCATTATCATCATCATCATCATCATCATCATCATCATCATCATCATCATGGTCATCATGGTCATCATCCTCTGACCGAGATTTTTATTCGAGGAGTACCGTGGCGCATCGAACGCGACACGGTTGCAACGAGTTTTCGTTACCCATTAACGAGTTTGCAAACCCTTCCTCCAACCATCTATATAACCCTTTTTTTACGACATCCCATCGTGCGTCAGCAACACGCCCGATCGTTTAACCAACGTTCCCGCGAAAGATTTCGCACCGAATATTCCAACGAAATGAATTTCATTATTGCGTACAACGTCGGACGTTAAAACATATACGCGAAAAGAAATGTTTTTTATTTTTCAATAATACCGGAACTAAACGATTTGTACAGCTATATATATATATATATATATTTAAAAAAAAAAAAAAAGAAAACGTGAGAATCTTTTCAAGGATGAGCAACAACGAGCACAGGAATTCAATCGTCTTGATGGATCGTTAAAACGAGAGATCGATCTAGATCGCGCACCATTCAATATGATCCGTAAGATCCAGTTGGAGCGTTGCTTGGTGACGAGGTGGAGCATGTCGTAAATACACTTCCAGTTAAAACACACTTTATCACCATAAAGTCACACAATTACGTAGAATTTGTTTCATTGACGAATAAACGTCAACAAAAGGGGGGAGGGTGGGGCGTGATAAACACCACCACCATCCATTCACGTCGATTATCACTTTACATGACGGACGTCGAATCCAAAAGTAAAAAAGTAAAAAAACAATGGTCAGAAAACAAGAAAAAAGACAAACAAAAGTTGAAAAAAAAAGAAAAGAAATGATAAATCTCAAAATTCGTAGACAATTATCACACAGTCGAATTTAAAGACACACAGCAGACACGAAGAATAACAAAAAAACTAACACCACGAAGGTAGAGTAGCTCGCGACGAAGTTCGATAAACGAAATACACAATTTTGGGCCTTAGAGGATCTAACGAGAAAAAAGAAGGGAAAAAGGAAGGAAATTGGGGTAGGATACAAGAGAGAAAGTATAATAATAATGGGATAGGTAGATGAATAATATTGAGGTAAGATACTACTAAACGCGTAAGAAGAATAAGAATAAGAATTAAGAAGAGAGCGGGTGCGCGTCGGTGCGCTCTGCGGCCGGTCTCTCGGTTCGTCTCTGACTGGCGTAGTGTATAAGCAGCACACTCTCGCGCGAGTTCTCTCTCGTGTTCCGAACGGTGCGTGCTGCTGCTCTACGGCCGGAGGCCACGTGACACGGTCCCCTGCAGGAGGTAGGACCGCTTGCGAGTGAGCGCGCGCGCAAGCACGCACGCCACCGAGTAAACTTCTGTGACAGGCAAGCAGGCCGCGCGCGCGCGCGCACACACACACACATACTCTCTCTGTCTTTCTCTTTCTTTCTTTCTTTTTCTCTCGCAATAAGCAGCAAACGAGTGAGCAGCCTAGCAAGCAAACGAAAGAGAGAGAAAGCAAGAAAGCACGAAGCAGCAACAAGTCTTGCGCGTCGGTGTCGCGAGCTCTCGTGTGTGGGCTGCGGCGAGCTTAGGGCCAACAACAGAGTGCCGTTGCCCGAGAGTGGGGATAGGTCGTAGAGGCGGCCCGCCGACAGGGACCGACCGACCGACCGACCGAGTGGGAGGACTGGCCCTCTCTCGCTTCGTTCAAACGAGTGGGGAGGGGAGTAGTGCCGCCGCCTCGCTTCTCGCCAAACTCTCTTTCTCTTATTCTCTTTCTCTCTCTTTGTTCAACGCTCCTTCTTGCACACCGGGGAGAGAACACGCACCGTAGCAGGGGTGGAGCGGCCTACGACCCCACCAGGCGCGTGCCCCGAGTCAAACAACCTACCGTCTACCGCCGCGTGCGCACTCGATAACGAGCTCTCTCTCTCTCTCTCTCTCTCTCTCTTTCTTTTTTTCTTTTATTTTTTTTTTCTTGGTCTTTCCCCCAACAAAATTATTTCTTCTTTTTTTAGCGGTCCCCAACCGAAGAAATGTGCTAAAAGTTACTACTACTACTACTACTACTACTACTACTACCATGCTTTGCGATCGACGATCACTTCTTTCTTTTTGCTTTCTTTGTAATCTTTTTCATTCGTATTTACCCTTACGAATGTATCAAGCGCGTGGAAGAAATATTAAAAACGTCCGGTAAAGATTGGTGAAATAAAAAAACGGGTCGAGAGAGTTAAAAGGGCAAGCCGCGAAAGACCTTTAAGTTGTTTGCTTTACTCTACCGTGTGATGTTCGTTAACGAGGGAGAAAGAATGAAAGAATGAAAGAGAGAGAAAGAGAGTGTGTCTCTCGACGAGAAGCAGATTTTACTGTCGGGAGAATTTTACGAGTTACTCGAGTTCTTTGCAGCACCATCATCTCTGCATATTTATAGAACCATAAGAAAAATCTAACACCTATGCTCGAGTTAATGGTGTCTCTCTATAGGACACTTCCATCCACCGGAAGATATGTTTTTAAGGGTACTTTGTAAGGATGCTTGTCTCTTATTTTGATATTTTCTCTTCTTTTTTTTTTTTTTGTTTAACTTTAAAACGTTATGGGGATCTAAAAAAAAATCCTTGTCAATTTCATGGTACAATTATTCGGCGCGCGTGGGGTAACGAGTTTTACAGGAGTCAGGAGTACGGCCACGTGACACGAATTCCCAACGTCGAAAAGAGAACCCAAGGAAGTCTCAACTTCCGTGGAACAACGACGGAATTTTAAACGATTGTCTGTGTCGTATCGATGTACGCGGCGGTCAGCGTGAAAATCAAAGCGTCACGATGATCCAAGAAATGACAGGGTTTTTTAATAGAAAACATTACGTTTTTATAGGGATCTTCTGACCAAGAATTACAAGATTTCAAGGATTTCAACGAGAATTCATAGAAATCGAAGGTAAAATCTGTTACAAACGAAAGTTCTGACCCATTGGTTTCAATGCGATGGAATAGGATCATGGTGACCGGAAGTGATCGCCTACGCTTACGATTCAACTGTGATAAGGTAGTTGGACGACTAGCACAAGGTTAATGATGGTAGTGGGGATTTAACTCTCATCGTTGTTGCTAGTCTTGCAATCGAGAGTCGCCCACCGTTATATATGTTTTGTAAGTCCCAAAAGTCGATTTCGGAATTACTTGACTGTTCCTGAAAGTGCGCCCACGCGATTATAACCCGCGATGATCCATCCTTCTGGATACGTAAAACGACGACAGCAAAGACGAAGACGACGACAACGGTTGCCGAAATATAACCGTCCGGCATCGCCCACGTATAAAAATGAAAAAAAAAAAAAAAAGAAAAATGTAAAGGTGCCTCTGTGTGTTCACCCAGAAACCTTTACCAGTTATATTCTTCCCTACCTACTTTATCCCTTCCCCTTTTGTTGGTTTTTTTCCCCCCTCGAATGACAAATAATCATCGCCCACGTTTATGGGACTTATATGACTTTTGGAAAAACAATCGATTAGTCATCTTCTAATTCGAGGATAGAAATGAAGAAATAACAAATTTTGTTTTATACGAGTAACATTGATAAGTTAGCAGAGAGAGAGAGAAAGAGAGATGGTATTTGAAGAGGAGAGGACGACGTGCAGTCGACGATTGGGCGTGACCGATATGCATTGATTCGACGTAAGACGCATATATGCGGTTACTTCGTCGCGGTACGGATTAAGAGAACAGGACTTGGGCCGGTAGGAAGAAAAGCCGCTTGACAAATCGTTTTCTACTCGTCTTATCGTTTATTCTTATCTATCGATCTCACGGTCCCGTCGTCCCTCTCTTTCTCGAATAATCGTGGGCGTGATAGACGTACGGAACCGAGACTAATATGTTCCACGTGAGAGATATTCTCTCACTCTTGAAAACTTTTCATTTTCTATTTATCCTCCTTTGTTTCTTAGAAAACCGTCAATCGAACGTTTTGTTATCCTTATTCCATCATTATATTTTGCTCTTTATATCCACGAGTTATGTACGAGCTAACCAACAAGCCGTTCTATTAATTTTCTAACGCGCTATTAAGCCAAGATTAGTAATAGGGTACACTCAAGGTACTCAGGTACGAAGCTCCGGTGTAGCTTCTTTCCCCAGGTCGATCGTTACCGCATGCTGGGAATGTTAACGAATGTTTCGCACGCGGTTTTGCCCTGGTATGACGGTTCGTTCGTTCATTCGTTCATACATTCGCTTGCTTGCTTGCTTGCTCACTCGTTCAACTCGCGCAATGCAATTCCGTTCGCAACAGACCCCAACCAGTCCAGAGGAGTTCGTCGACGCCCTCGTCGAGAGTCGTCTCCTTGACGACTCTTTGAGAGAGAGAAAGTATCTCGATTAGCTCGGAGCCTCCTCGATTTCTACCATTCCAATACGATCCATCATTCCCTGTCTAATTAATCTTTGAAAATATTGCTCTGGTGTACTTAAAAAAAAAAAAAAAAAAAACAGGAACATAATAAGAAGAAAATGATATAAGTCAGAATGGAAGAAGATCGATGCACGATCGACGCGAATTTCGAGCAAACACTTTCTTGATAATACCTCGACGATGAGAGTTTCGCGGAATAAGAAAAGTCAAATACCTACTTCTCTTTTATTTTCTTTTCTTTTCTTTCGTTAGTACGATAGATAATGGTTGCATGATTGTTTTCTACGTTTATATGTATTTATGTGTTTATGTGCGTTTAGTTGAATGCTTGAAAGACGCACGCTATTAAGTATAATTTATATCGCCAGTTCTCTGTACACACATCGTTGGATAATTTGTTGTTCCCTTTTAACATGGCATTACGTGTTATAACGACGATATCTTCGCAATAAGAAGGATTGTTATTAGGGCTCGGTTCTTTGTAATTAATTCCGTTTAAATATCCTATCGCCTTTTACCGAGGATTTATAAAAGAGAGAGAGAGAGAGAGATAGGAAGAAAGATATTTCTAACAACACCGATTGATTCGACGATTTAACGATTTAGCTACCGTGATAGTTATGAAACTTTGTTGCACTTGTTGTAATTGTCTATCCCTCTCTCTCTTTCTCGTAATATCAAATATTAACCTTTGCTTACCACACTGGGTCCAAAGGACCCAGACCTTTTTTACAACTTGAGTCATTTTTCTCAATTGTTCAATTTTGGTAGTTTTTTTTTTAAGTAAATCTATGCAATAGTTTCTTTTCTATAACGATTTTTCTCGTCCGGGTCCAAAGGACACAGAGGTGTGGTAAGCAAAGCTTAATGGAAAGCAACCTTTAATAATAATAATAATTTTATTTAAAATAGTTATAATAATCACATACGCAGTGTGATGTTGTTCGGTGTATAGTAAAGCATTTCATTTCGAAGATTTCTCAATGAAATATTAAGAGAGAAAAGATTTGTGATATCTAAACTATTAATAAAACCTTTTAGCTATTTTACTCACGAAATATATATCAAAAATCACCCTCCTCTTGCTCAAAATAGAAACATTCACATTTTTTAAGAATAACATCATAGTTATGACCAGTAAATAACATTAGTTAACCACAATGTTTGACAGCAAGTCTTAAAAATTTATGTTGAACAGTTTTCAATGTGTCGTAAATATAAAAATTGTAATATTGAAACCAAATAATGCTAACATAATCATAAATGAGATGAATTAACAACACTAGATTTACGAACTGAGCCAATTTGACTCATTTCAAATTTTTTTGATACAAATATATATAAAACTTAAATRTTATATTTTTAAAAATATATGTTGTTTTTTTAATTACGTAATAAAATATATCTAAATATATAATTYATCATAAATATAAAAAWTGTAATATTGAAACCAAATAATGCTAAAATAATCATAAATGAGATGAATTAACAACACTAGATTTACGAACTGAGCCAATTTGACTCATTTCAAATTTTTTTGATACAAATATATATAAAAACTGAAATGTTATATTTTTAAAAATATATGTTGTCTTTTTAATTATGTAAAAAAATATATTTAAATATTAATTACTACCCTCTATTCAATCCTTCATTTAAAACAATGTTTGTAAGTCATTAACCCATTGACTGCCAGACATATTTAGAGCGTTTTGCCTTAAACTTTTAAAAATATAATAATATCAAGTTATTGATATAATATTGTAATGATATTTACA